TGTTCAATAAACTACAATACTTCTATGTAGTTTAATGGCATGGGCATCCATGCCATTAATATGAACTACTAGAAGGTGACAGTTGTACATAAATAATCCACTTTTACCAGCCTATAAAAATAAAATCTTTGCCAGCATGTAAGGCATCTTTACAACTGTTGCATAGAATCAAGGATCCTAATTGCTGATTTCCATACTATTGACCCAGAATAAATCACTACCACTCTCAAGCAAGTACTTTATTTATAAATTTTAGTCAAACTCTATAGGGCAATGAGGCAACTATTGTTCTGAGTACTCACTCTACGCCAGGGAGCACAGTGGCTCCATACAGAAGGTTAACAGACTGGGAACCACAAGGACCTCAGTTTGAGCCTGCCAACTGCTCTAAGGGAGAAAGATGAGGTTTTCTGCTTCTGCAAAGATTTATAGCTACAGAAACCCTATACAGGGGTATTATGAGTCGGAAACAACGCAACAGCACTTTAACAACAACTCTGTTTCTAGCACTGTGCAGTGCTTTACATGTTATCATAGTTAAACCTACAACACTCCTATGAAATAAGGACTGAACATCCCTTATACAGATCAAAGATGTTAAATAAATTCCCCAAAGTTACCACATGGAAGAACTGGGATGTAAACCTAGATCTGTCTGCTTCTAGCTAACGTTCCTGCACACTTGCAGTTTTTGAAACTGTTCAGAGAAGGCAAAGAATAGTAGCTAACTATGAAGTTCCAGGCAACTCCTCCACCATCAACGGGAAAGTTTTGTTTTAACTTGCTTATATACAGGGTTTCTGAGTATGAGAATTATTTTAAAAGATGCTCCTGTGTTTCTGAATTAATGAAAAAGAAGTTTGAAACCCTCCACATTAAGTCAATGTCATATTACACCTACTATCTGCATCACTGAGAAAAAGAAATAAAAAGTATTTATTTAGGCCATAATCTATTTTTTTTAATTAGTTCAGTAATTGAATTTCCCCCAACCAAGAAAAAATTATTATTGTTGTTAACTGCCATTAAGGCAGTTCTAACTCATAGTAACCTTATATACTTTTCTGTACATTTTGTAAAGCACATTCACTTCAAAAAGGATATTGCCCTCTGTTAATAAAAATTCTCTTGCTTCAATCCTCCCTTGAGAAAAACTGTTCAAATGTTAAATCATTCTCTATTTCATAACACATTATAGATCTCATAATTAATTCAAAATTTGACTATCATTTCACCTCTGGCTGAGAACAAGTAGAAATGGATAAAAAGGAAATACCATCTGCACAAAATCAAAATACTAGCAGACAAAAATTTAATACATTTTTACTAAATAGCATAATGCTCTCAACATTGTTGTTGTTGAGTGCTATCAAGTCGGTGTTGACTCATAGCGACCATGTATAGGGTTTCCAAGGAGCAGCTGGTGGGTTTGAAATGTCAACCTTGTGATGCACAGTCTAATGCTGATCCTACAACACCAGACCAGGAGTCCACTTTCACACAGGCATACCATAAACCAAACCCATTGTCTTAAATGTTGACTCATAGCGACCCTATAGAACTGCCTTATAGGGTTTGGGGAAGCAGAGCAGCTAGAAGGTTTGAACTACCAACCTTTCAGATAGTAGCCAAGACTCCTCCATATAGGTATGTTGTTGTACCTTCCAGTCGATTCCAACTCATAGTGACCCTCTGTACAGGGTTTCTGAGAAGCAACTACTAGCCTTGTAGTTCACAGTCCAGTGCTTACCCTACAGCACCACACCAGGAATCCAATATAGGCATAGGAACTATTTTTCTTCAGTGGCATTATACTGTTGCAATAAAATTCAATTTCTGTATGTCAATTAATAAACAATGGCAAAAAGAAAAAAAAAGTGTGTGTTTCTGCAGTTTCTGTGCATTAGATTTACTTACAGTAAGATTAAAAATAATTGTTATAAATCATACATGAAACAAATACACATAGGCATGTATCAACTACTGTTTCTTAAAAGATGTCAGAAACTTTATCCAAGTTGTACCATTAGTCATGGACATGAGATCTAAAAAAAAGAACAGGATAAGATTTTACATGAAAGAGACAACAAACTCTTAAGAATAAGTCTAGTAATCACCCATTTTTGTAGGTCTGAGTTGGTGCATGTATCTCCAGATCGAAATTCATTTTAGTTACTGAATACAAACTTGTAGTCACAGCTCTTAATTCTTTAACAAATGATGTTCAGTAGATGTAGTTTATGAATATGGCTTATAAATGAAGAATGCAAATGGCAAACATATGGTACACAGCTATACCTGCATTCTCTTTGCTCCACTCACAAATGGTCAGTTTAGAAAAGTGATTAATCTTTCCAAGATCCACTTTCTTCAATTATAAAAAGGGGGAACAAATCTTGATTAACACTGTGCCATGGGCACCGATTTTTCTCCTGAACAAAACACTACTACATTGACTATAAAAGGATTTTTGTTTTAAGTTATAAACGTTGTTGTTGTTAGGTGCCGTCCAGTCAGTACCAACCCATAGTGACCTTATGTACAGCAGAACGAAACACTGCCCGATCCTGGACCAGCCTCACTACTGTTGCCATGCTTGAGTCCATCGATGCTGCCACTTGGCCAATCCATCTCGTTGGGGGTTTCCCTCTTTTTCCCTGACCTTCCACCTTACCAAACATGATATCCTCTACAGCAACTGCTCCCTCCTGACAATATGACCGAAGTATGAGAGATGAAGTTTTGCCATATTGGCTTCCAAGGAGCACTCTGGCTGCACTTCTTCCAAAATGGATCTATTGGTTCTTTTGGCAGCCCATGGCACTTTCAGTACTCTCCTCCATCACCACAACTCAAAGGCATCAATTCTTCTACGATCTTCCTTATTCACTGTCCAGCTTTCACATGCATATGAGGTAATTGAAAATACCATGGCTTGGGTCAGGCGCACCTTAGTCCTCAAGCTGACATCTTTGCTCTTCAACACTTTATAAAGGCCTTGTGCAGATTTGCCTAATGCAATACATCGTTTGATTTCTTGACTGCTGCTTCCGTGAGTTTTGATAGTTATAAATAAATAAGTACAAAAACCGAAAGAGAATAGATTTTAGCAGATAGGTTTCAGAAGAGGTTTGAAGAGGTAGGAAGAAGTAGGCCGGTAACTAAGCAGAGGAAGCTTCCACCTGAGGACTTGTGAAAGGAGCTTTTTAGATCATAAAAGAAACAATTTATCCCACACACAACCTGGAAAAGTCCAGAATATGAAGATAAACAAAGGACCACTTATAAGGCAATGTGAGACAGGAGAGTAAAAGAAAAGATATCATCAAAAGCTGAAAGAGAAAGAAGGCCAAAAAGCCCATGTAATGGCAAAACAGGACATTGGCTAAGACTTGGCTAAGATGAGCTACTGCTGTGGTGAAGTGCCATCAAGTTGGTTCTCACTCATAGTGACCCTGGACACGGCTTCCAAGGAACAGCTGGTGGGTTAGAGCTGCCCATCCTTCAGTTAACAATCTAATGTGTATCCTACAGTGCGACATGTGGAGGACTCGGGCAACAGAGTGTCAATTACAAAACCTGACGTAGCCCTCTACACCACCAGGGGTAGGATGAGAATGCAGAATGAAGACAACTTTATCTCTACTGTAACAAATACACTTGAATATTACATAGTTTTAAAAAATGTTTTTAAAGTACCCTTATGAGTTGTGGAGAATTCAGATGACTTTTCAGTCTTTCCACTGACCAACTTAAATGTATTCTAAAATCCCTGGAAAGTATGAGCTTTTTCCTTGGCTGACAGTTACAAGTCATATAAAAAGAAATTAACTGGGACCAAGCCTTGTGAATGCAGGACAACTGCCAAAATATGACCACATACCTGGCATCAAATAAACAAAAGACACCAAAGTCCAATTTCTAGAAAATATTTTATAGTAAAAAGAAATGAAGCACAGTTTAATGATTTTCCAGGATTTTTAACCACCCCTGACTACTGGTGTAGGATCAGCTCTGGACTCGGAACCACAGAAACAGCAGTTCAAACCCATCAGCTACTCCTCAGAAATTCTATACACAGAGTTGTTAACTGACACTGTGGCACTTAACAACAAAAACAACAATCGACTCAAAGGCAATAGCGACAATCAGTGGTCCTGGTGTGGCTCTGTAAGATAAGCACTAGACTGCTAACTGCAAGGTCAGACGTTCAAACCCACCAGCTGCTCCTCAGGAAACTCATACAGGGTCACTATGTGTTGAACATGCTCAACAGAACTTAACCGCAACAATCATCTAAATGACTACATAGCTGATGCTGTTTTTCATGCTAGTACTTGTGTGGTGCTGTGGGTTAATGAACTGAAGCACAAAGTCGGTTTGAAATGCAAGGATGGTGGTTCAAGCTCACCAGAAACTCCTCGGAAACCCTATACAGGATTGCAATGAGTCTCAACCAACTCAATGGCACTTAACAATAACAAACTATCAAAGCAAAGGGAGCCAGTCTATTTGTGAGCTGACCATATATCCCATGACATAACAATAATATCTAAGAGCATATTAATAATGTCTAACTACTGAAAGCACAATTAGATGCCAGCAGCATTTCAGAAAATACAACATAAATTAAAACAACTTTTCAAGGAAAAAGAGACCATGGAAGCCACGTGACTCAGTTTATAAATTAGGAGACTAAGACACAATAACATTATATTCCTTGGCTGAAGATCACAAGACGGTTTAGTGGGAGAGGTGGGATAAGAATATCACTCTCTAAATGCCTCCCCAACCCCATCCCCCCCAGTGCTCTACTCTCCTCCCTGCTCCCACAATGCAAAAATCACACCCAATAGATTTAAGAGGACTCTATGTAAAGTAACATTATGGTACTCTTTAGAAACTCAAAATGGAATGATAGAATCTAAAAAAGGAAGAATGAGCAAAAATTAAGACAAAATATTTGCTTAATACAAAATAATTTTAATTAAAAACTATACCTTTACTGCTTCTGATGAATGCACATTTTCCTTTTTCTGACTTGTGGTCATGGGTTCATTTTCAACACTGAAAAATAAAAATCAGTTTCTTTTGAAATTAAAAGAAATTACTATAATGATGTTGTTTCTGTATTTATACCAGTAATTGAAAAACATTTTAGTGGCAAAGCTCAATAATTGACATACAAAATGTTATACTAAGAATATGTTGCTGTGAAAAGTCTGAATTCAAAAAACATTTAAAAAATACTCATCCAAGCTTCAGAAACCATAGGGTTATTTATGTTGCACAGGACTGTAAAGTCGGTTTGAACTGCAAGGTTGGTGGGGTTCAAGCTCACCAGTCGCTCCTTGGAAACCCTATGCAGGGTCGCTATGGGTCGGAACCGAATCAATGGCACTTCACAACAACAACATGTTGATAATCAGAATCAGAGAAATGAGATACCTAATATAAGAGTACCAGTGGACTACTAGCGCAATTTTGCAAAGTGTTAGCATTCTAAGATTTTACTTAAATTGTTTCTCCACAGGCTGATCTTTTTTTTACTTAATGCCGAAACTGAGTATTTCATACAATGGAATATATATCCAGTAAGTAAATTGTAAATAAGAGGTTTTACTAATGAATTCTACCACCAGTTGTCTATCAGTTTATTGTACTTTGGTGGCTTGTATGTTGCTGTGATTCTGGAAGCTATGTCATGGGTATTTTAAATACCAGCAGGGACACCCATGGTAGACAGGTGTCAGCTGATCTTCCACACGAAAACAGATTTAGAAAGAAAAGATGAACTACATCTGACTATTTAGTCACTGAAAACCTTATGAAAAGGAGTGGAAAAATGTCAGTACCAGAATACTGAATACTGAATAAAACAAGATGAAGAGCAACAGAATTTTGTTAGATACACTGCCAGAAGATGAGCCCCTCAGGTTGGAAGGCACACAAAATAGTACTGGGGAGAGTTGTCTCTTCAATGTAGAGTTGACCGTGATGACAAGAATGTTAGTTAAGCCTTCAAGACCTTCATTTGCTGATGGGGCACAATTCAAAATGAGGAGAAATCTCTGGAAACATTCATTAATAATTAGAACATGGAATGTGCAAAGTACGAATCTAGGAAAATCGGAAATGTCAAAAATGAAATAGAACACATAAACATCAATATCCGAGGCACTGGTGAGCCGATATGGACTGGTATCGGCTATTTTAAATCTGAACCGTTTTACACGGTTCACTATGCTGGGAATGAGAAATTTATGAGAGATGGTGCTGAATTCATTATCAAAAAGAACTTATCAAGACCTATCTTGAAGTACAATGCTGTCTGTGATAGGATCATATCAATATGCCTACAAGGCACTCTTCTACAAACTTCTTCATGCTGAAATTGATGAAACATGCAATCAAGCTACATTGATAATTACTGCCAATTGAAATGCAAAGGTTGAAAGAAAAGAGGAAGGATCAAAAATTGGAAAATATGGCCTTGCTGAGAGAAACTATGCCGGAGGTCACATGACAGAATTTCATTAGACCAATGACTTCTTGATTGCAAATACCTTTTTTAAACAACATACACATGGACCTCACCAGACAGAATATACAGAAATCAAATTGACTCTACCTGTAGAAAGAGACAGTGAAAAAGCTCCATGTCATCAGCCAAAATAAGACCAGGCACAGACTGTGGAACAGGCCATCAATTGCTAATATTCTAGTTCAAGCTGAAGCTGAAGAAAATTAAACAAGCCCACAAGAACCAAAATATGTCTTTGAACATAACCACCTGAATTTAGAGATCGTCTTAAGAACAAATTTGATACAATGGACACTAAAGACCAAAGACGAGAAGAATTGTGGGATGGCATCAAGAACATCATGCAGGAAGAAAGCAAAAGATCATTAAGAAGATAAGAAAGAAGGAAAAGAACAAATTGGTTGTCAAAATGGCTCTCTACCTTAGAGATGCTAAAGCAAATGGAAGAAATGAGGTTAAAGAGCTTAATACAACATTTCAAAGGGCAGCTTGAGAACACAAAGTCAATTATTATAACGGAATGTGCAAAGACCTGGAGTTAGAAAACCAAAAGGGAAGAACATGCTCAGCATTTCTCAAACCAAAGAAAAAAAATCAAGCCTCAACTTGAGAAATATTGAAGGATTATCTGGGAAAAATACTGAATGATTCAGAAAGTAGATGGAGTATACAGCATCACCGCATCAAATAGAAATGGTCACTGTTCTGCCATTTAATGAAGTAGCATGTAATCAAGAGCCCAATGACAATGAAGGAAGAAGTTCAAGGTACACTGAAGGCATTGGCAAAAACAAGGAACTGGGCATTGCTGGAATACAAATTGAAATCCTTCAACAAACTTATAAAGCACTGGAGGCATATCACTCATCTATGCCAAGAAATTTGGAAAACAATTACCTGGACAACTGACTGGAAGAGATCCATATTTGTGCCCACTCCAAAGAGAGGTGACCCAACGGAATGTGTAAGGCATCAGAAAATATCAATAATACCTCACACAAGTAAAATTTTGCTAAAGATAATTAAGAAACATCTAGCACCATACATTGACAGAACTATCTATCAAATTTAGAAGAGGACATGGAATAAGGGATTATCATTGATGACGTCAGATGATCTTGCTGAAAACAGAGAGTAACAGAAGATGGTTACCTGTGCTTTACTGACTATGCAAAGGCTTTTGATTGTGTGGATCATGACAAGCTATAGAAAACGTTGCAGAGAATGTGTATTCTGCAACACTTAATTGTGCTCATCAGGAAACTGTACATAGACCAAGAAACAGTACATAGACAAGAGAACAGAACAAGGGAACACTGAACGGTTTAAAATTAGGAATGGTGTGTGCTAGGGTTGTATTCTTTCACCATACTAACAATCTGCATGCTGTTGTTGTTCAGTGCCATCGAGTCAGTTCTGACACTTAGCTACCCCTGTATAGGGTTTCTGAGGAGCAGCAGGTGTGCTTGAACCACTGACCTTGCAACACAAACCAACTTTGTAGTCCAGCACATTAATCAACAGTACCACACCAGGACTCCATTCAATCTGTATGCTGAGCAAATAATCCAAGAAGCTGGACTAGATGAAGAAGTTGGATTCAGGATTACACAAAGACTCATTAACAATCTGCAGTATGCAGATGATACAACCTTGCTTGCTGAAAGCATCTTACTGATGAGAATCAAAGACCACAGCCTTTGGTATGGGTTGCCCTCAATGTAAACAAAATAAAAATCCTTACCACTGAACCAATAAATAATATCCTGATAAATGGAGAAATGATTGAAGTTGTCAAAAACTTCATTTTGCTCAAATCAACCATTAACACTCACGGAAGCAGCAGTCAAGAAATCGAACTATGCACTGCATTAGACAAAATCTGCTGCATAAGAGCTTATTTAAGTGTTGAAGAGCAAAGATGTCAGTTTTGAGGACTACGGTGTGCCTGACCTAAATCATAGTATTTTCCATAACCTCCTATGCATGTGAAAGTTGGACAGTGAATAAGGAATACGGTAGAAGAATTGATGCATTGAATTATGGTGTTAGAAGAGAGTTATCAAAAGTACCATGGTTTGCCAAAAGAATAAACCAATCTGTGTTGGAAGAAATACAGTCAGAATGCTCTTTGGAAGCCTGAATGGACAGATTTCATCTGTCATACTTCAGACATATTATCAGGAAGAACCAATCCTTGGAGTAGTATATCATATTTGGTAAAGTGGAGGGTCAGGGAAAAAGAGGAAGACCCCCCAAACAAGATGGATTGGCACAGTGGCAGCTGTAATGGGCTCAAACATAGCAACGATTGTGAGGTTGGCATAGGAGCGGGCAGTGTCTCATTCTGTTGTGCATAAGGTTGCTGAGTCGCTACCAACTCGTTGACACCTAACAACAACAATGAATTCTAACAATACTCAAAATAGATTTCACCTCAAAATGTCCCAGTTGGTACCTTAAAAAGAATCCAATTTTCCAGACAGCCCCTTCTAAATGTCATATTGAACTACCTTGTCTGTTAGGCATACATAAACTACAAATCTAAATATTTATATTTATTTATATTTAATCTTTTTCATACTTTCATTATCCTAGACAAATTTTAAAGCTCAACTTTAAAGATCATGACTGTCTACCATGTTTATGGGATTGTACTTGGCCTTGAGGACATAAAAATAATTAGATCAGGTCACTTCAGTCTAGTAAGTGAGACCGATGTACAAACAATCCTTGGCAATTCAGTTTGGTAAAAGTTATCACTGCTGAATGAACAAAACGATATAAAGCACAAAGGAAATAAGGAATTGTAAATTATGCCTGATCAATAAGGTATCCACAGAGGAGGTACAAAGGCAGGGGTAATAGACAATATGGCATTTCAGGATATCATTTTTGTTTGTTTTTAATGTACAATTGAAGCATAGGAACTTGTAATAGGGCACTGCTGACAGAAATGAGGAGAGCAGAGGTTACCAGATGCCAGACTAGAATAACAGGCTAATCGTGTTACAGAATTTGACCTCTGTCCTACCCTCAGTGTCTCTGGAACACTTGAACATGGAACTGAAAGGGAGCAAAACCAATGGAATTAGGGAAAATCTTATGTGGAGTCAATAAAAGAAGAGGTATCAGTGTCTGGGGTCATTATGAGGATATCTCAAACAAACCAGAAGTAAAGAGATAACAGGATTCATGCCACTTAGATTTGCCATCCGTAAAATCAATTGCTATTAAATAGAGTATCCAGGAAACAAAATTGCTAAAAGACAGGAATTCATGACAAAGTTTGTTAACACTGGAAAATACAATGGATTACAATTTCATTAAATTCCTATGTTCTATGTAGGATAAGCATTGGACTGCTAACAACAAAGTCAGCAGTTCAAATGTACTGACTACTCCTGGAAAAGGGTTGCTATGTGTCAGAACCAACTCAAAGGCATTTAATTAACAAAAACAACAATACAGAAATGCATGGATCAGGAAGATACAGTCATGCTTTCTAGTTTTACATGTTAGT